CGCTCATTACATCCAACCTTTCACTGGCCTGTCAGAGTTAGTTGGTTGGAAGGGAAGAGCACTCCAGCCAGAGGAGCCAAGTGCAAGGCCCCAGGTAGAATGGAATATGGGGCTCCTGGAAGCTGAGAGATTTGTTTTTCTTTTCTTTCCTTTTTCTTTTTTGCGGTACTAGGAGTTAAACCCAGGCCCTTTGCACTGAGATAGATCCCTTTTTTATTTTTTATTATTTTTATTTTATTTACTTTTTGGTACCAGCGATCAAACTCAGGATCTTGAGCTTGTGAGGCAGGCATGGTGCCACTGAGCTAAAACCACCCCCCTCCCCACACTTTTTTGAGACAAAGTCTCACTGTGTAGCCCAGGCTGGTGTTGAACTCGAAGTGAAATTCCTGCCTCAGTCACCCGAGTTCACTGAGTTCTGGGATTACAGGTGTGCACCACCACACCCAGTCCCAGACTGGGTTTGAATTTGCAGTCCTCCTGCAACAGCCTCCCACTGAGGGATTTTTTTCATCACCTTTACTGTGCAAGACATCACACTGGTCCAGGAATCCACAATCTTTCTGGACAACTGTCACAGTTCCCAAATCCTTTCCTCATTTGTCTCCCTACTCTCTTTCTTTCTTTTTTTTTTTTGGTACTGGGGATCGAACTTGGGACTTTGCGCTTGCTCAGGAGGCAGCGAAACCACTGAGCTAAATCCCCGGCCCCTCCTTACCCTCTTTCTACCTCCATGCAGTATATTTGCCTCACAGCCACTTGATAGGCAAAGATCTGAGTCAGCAGTGACTTCTTGTCCATGATTACCCACCTGTAAGCAGCAGAGCCAGTGGAAAGTCAGTGACCTGATGTTGAGTCAGTCAATGGCAAGACTGGCCTGTGGGTGAATCCCTGTTCTGCCACAAACTAGTTGTGTGAGCTTCAGCATTGGACTACCTTTTGTATTGTTTTCTTTTTTTGAGACAGGGTCTCACTCTGCAATTCAGGCTGGGCTTGAACTCACTATGTAGCCCAGGCAGGCCCTGAATTCACGGAGATCCTCCTGCCTCAGATTCGAGAGTGCTGGGATTACAGGCATGCACCATCATGCCTGGCTTGTACTGTTTTCTTACCTGTAAAATGAGCTAATAAAATGAAGTTTTAATGAGGATTTAAAGAGGTTGCTTGCAAAAAAGGTTGTCAGGGCCCTCACTGCCTTGCTAGTTCAGAGTGCTGGGTCAGCTCTCCATCTTGTCAGAGGGCTTCTACCAACTGCCAGCCTCCCCACATAGGCAGAGTGGATTGCTGAGGAATCTGCACATCTAGGAATATATTTCACCCAACAGCTGCTGGTGTGTAACCATCCCAGCTCCCTCCTCTCTTGAGAGAAATAATTCTGGAGGATATATGTGTGTGTGTATTAGGGTTCTCCAGAAAAACAGAAGCAATAGGAGATTATGCATCTATATCTGTATCTGTATCTATTTGTCTGCTTGAGCTTTATAACAAAAATGCCATTAGCTGCTAGGCAGGGAGGCCCATAATACCTGTAGTCCTGGCTACCCAGTAGGCCAAGACAGGAGGATCATTTGAGCATAGGAGTTCGAGGTCAGCCTGGGCAACATAGTGAGACCCTGTCTCAAGAAAAAAGAGGGAGAAAAAGAAAGACTAGCGCTGTAGCTCAGTGGTACAGCATATCCTTAACAAACATATTGCAAAAAAAAAATTGAGTGGGTTATAAACAACAATTTATTTCTCACAGTTTTGGAGCCTGGGAAGTCTAAGATCATGAAGCCATTAGATTTATTTTTTTTCTTTTTTTGTACCGGGAATTAAACTCAGGGCCTTGAGCTTGCTAGGCAGGTGTTGCACTACTGGGCTACCTCCCCAGCCCAAAGCCATTAGATTTAGTGTCTGGTGAGGTCCACTTTCGGTTTCACATCTGGTGTCTTTTTTGTTTTGTTTTGTTTTGTTTCTTTTTTCTTTTTAGACAGGATCTTGGTACGTAGTTCAGGCTGGCCTTGAACTCACTATCTACCCCAGGCTGGCCTCATCCTCATAGCAATCCTGGGGCCCAGGGATTTAGCTCAGTGGCACCACACCTGGCTTGCAAGCACAAGGTCCTGAGTTCAATCCTCGGTATGGCAAAAAAACAAAAAAGCAAAACAAAAAAACATCATAGCAATCCTGCTGCCTCAACCTCCTGAGTGCTGGGACTACAGGCATGTGGCACCATGCCTGGTATATGGCACCTTCTTGTCACCAGGGACAAGATGAAAGATTTCAGACCAGACACATAGGCCACTGTATGGAGTACAGGCAGAGTTTATTGCAAAATGATAGATTTTCAGATAGAGCTAGAGAAAATACACTTTCAAGCATGAAGGTGGGCAAGTGCCAAAATGTAGCTGCACTGAATGAAGGCTCAGGTTATGATTAACTGGATCTTTCAAAGAATCTTTTCCTCCTTCTGTGGTCACTGTTTTTATACAAGTAAAATGGGCTGTGTTTACCTATATCAAAAGAGAAGCAGGTCCCTGTTTACTCTGTAAGTTGCTGTTGTAGTCAGCAGGATTTGGCAAGGGAATACATTAAATACAGGACACATAACTTATAAGATTATTTTATAGTAGATTTTTTTTTCGGTACCTGGGATTGAACTCAGAACCTCGAGCTTGCAAGGCAGGCACGATGCCACTGAGCTAAATCCCTGGCAAGATTATTTTATGATAATTACCCAAAAAGTCAAATGCAAAGGAGTGCAAGAGATTAACCACACACTAGAAGCCCAAAGGATTCAGCTGAGGGACTGAATCCCAGCAGTTTCCCACACAAGTCCAGCTAAAGGCTTAGAGTCCAAGGCAATGTTCTCCACGAGTCCAGCCAGTGGCCTAGAGCCAATGAGAATGTCTCATGCTTTTCCGTATTGAGGATCTGCACCTGGAAGGCCCAAAGGCCAGTGGTGGAAGCCAGAAAATCTGTGCTGCTGAGATGAAGGATTTGTGCCACCGGGCTGAGGGATCCACACTGGAGCCAGGAAGTGACGCTCATGGTGAAGATCAGAGCTCCCTTTATGAAAACACCAGCCATTCCCTGTGACATCGAAGTCCTGAGCTCCTCCTCCAATGAGAACAGCCTAGTTCACATCAGGAAAACCATCCACAGCAAGCCTCTCCTAGAAAATCAACAGGCCAGGATCTTCCCTGCCAGTTCTCTTTTTACGGCTATTGGTAGCAATCTTCAGGTGGATCCTCCATGTCCTGACCACACTGATTCAGTTCAACTGGGTGTTACAAGTTGACCATTGGTCAATCCACTACAGTGACTGTCTCCATTTAGTTTGTTTTGAGACCTTGAGGTTTGTCTAACCTCTCACCCATGGACCATCCTTTATATGGGGCCTGGGCCATACAGCATAGTTAGAGAATGTTACATCCTTTTGAGCTAAAGTTTGAAAATGTGAAACCATAAGCTTGTGTGGATCTTGTCTATCTATAGTTAATGAGTAAGAAAGTAAGTGAAGGATGCCAGGTGTGGTGGTGCATGCCTGTAATCCCCCCATTTGGGAGGCTCAGGCAGGAGGATTACCATGAGTTTGAGAGCAGGCTGGGCTACATAGTGAGTTCAAGACCACCCTGAACTTCATATCAAGACCCTGTTTCAAAAAAAAAAAAAAAGCGAAGGAAGAACAATCACATCTTCATTGCTTTTCACTTAACCCCCTAGCCTGCTAATGACAACTTTTTGCCTAAACTCTCCCTGGGTCTTCACATGATGGAAGGGTAGGGGGCTCCAAAGTCTCTCTTACAGGGGCCCTAATTCCATTTATGAGAGTTCTACCCTTATGACCCAATCATCTCCCAAAGGCGCTACCCTTAATACCATTACCTTGGAGGTTTGGATTTCAACATATGAATTCGATAGGGACACAAACATTTAGGCCACAACAATATCTGCATCTGTATAGCAAGCTCTAAACTGATATTATGAGTAATTAGGTCACATGATTACAGAGACTAAGTTCCATAATTTTCCATCAGCAAGTTGGACACTCAGGAAAGCTGGTGGTATAAATTCCAGTCCTAACCTGAAGGACTGAAAACCAATGGTGTCCCAGTCCGAGGGTAGGAGAAGATAGATGTCTCGGAGTTCAACCTTTCTCTGCCATTTTTTGGGCCTTCACATCAGAGAGGCTGATCTGCTTTACTGAGTCCACCAATCCTAATACACTTATCATGCACAGACATGACCAGAAATAATGTTTCACCTGAAATCTGGGCCAGTCAAGAGTGGCCTAGTCAAGTTGACACCCAAAAAATTAACCATCACAGTGTTCTACAGAATTTCCCAGAGTTCCCCAGCAGGATTAAGACCCAAATTCGGAGAACTGGAAGTGGATAGACATGAGATATTTTGGAGTTAGAGCTGGAAGATTGAATGTGGAGATTGAGCGAAAGAAAACAAACATGACTCTACGTTTCTAGTGCAAATGTAAATATGGTTGGGTTATTTGCTGACATGGTCCAGAATGGCAGAAACAAGTATTCAGTCAGGATGTGCGTGGAAATGAAGAATCCTGTGCTAAATTAGAGATGGTCATTAGACACCAAGGAGAGGTGGCCAGCAAGCAGCTAAAACTCCAGAAGGGGTCTAGGTTCAGAGGCACTTCTGGAAGTTACTAACCTACAGAATAGCACTGTTTAATAAAGCAGGGTTCAGGGGCACTCACCTGTAATCCCAGCATTTAGGGAGGTTGAGGCAGGAGGATCAAAATTCGAGGCCAGCCCTGGCAATTTACCAAGACCCTGTCTCAAAAGAAAATTAGGAGCTGGGCATGGTGGTGCAGGCCTGTGATCCCAGAAGATAGGAGGCTGAGGCAAGAGGACTGGCACGAGTTCGAGGCCAGCTTGGGCTTAGTTCAAAGCCAATCTGAACTACATAGGGAGGCAGTCTCAAAAAAAAAAAAAAAAAAAGGAAGAAAAGAGAGGGGCCTTGCCTAGAGGTTCAATTCTCAGCAGTGCAAAACAAAACAAAAAAAATCGAGCTACGTATATGATTTCAAATGCCCCAGTAGTTTTATTAGAAAAGACAAATTAATTCAAATATGTATTTATTTGAGCCAAAAAATCTCAACTATTGTTGGACGCGTAATGAATATGAACACTGTTTATAAGCTATTTTACATTTTTTCTTCGACATCGGTGTATACTTTACATTTAGAGCACACGTATTTCACACTCACCGCTTTCCAAGCGCTCAGATGCCTCCTACTGGCCAGCAGACACCAGCGCTTCCATCGGACTTTTCCAAAGCCAGGAGCCTGGGTTCACACGGACCGTATAGATGAAACACTTCCGGTGGGACGTTTCGGACTGAAGCCTCCGAGGAACGGAAGTCGTGTGTACGCTGTGGCTGCTTGCGGAGAAGGGTCGAGGCCAAGCGTTCAGAGCTTCCGCTGCCGGACTTTGCAGCCGGTGGTTGTGGTGAGTGGTACTAGGGATAGGGTTGGCCTGACCCGGTGCAGAAGGGCTCACCGGGCCTTGAAAATGAGCCAGACTCAAGCGGGAAGATGTCACTGTGGCTCCTGCTGGAGACATGTAGTCAGACTGTCGGAGTTTGTAGCCCACCCTCGAAGCTTGCTCCTGTGTAACCTTGGCAAAAAGTCTCTCTTCCTCCGACTCCTGGCTTCGTCACCTGTGGAGTGAGGATGATAGTAGAACTTGAGCTGCTTCACGGAATTGCTGTAAAGATTAAATGCAGTAATCATGGAAAGTGCTTTGCACCACACCTAACACATTGTTACCACCCAGTAAAATATACGGGGTGTTGTTCCATGGCCATTGCCAACTGCCCAGGTTAATTGGAGACTGTACAGGGGGTCCTATCCTGTGCTTTGCAAAGGGTTTTTTCGTTCTTTTTTCTTCTTTGGTTTTTTTTTTTTTTTTTGTACTGGGAATGGAACTCGGGACCTTGAGCTTTCGAGGCAGGTGGCAGAACTACTGAGCTAAATCATCGGCCTTTTTTCTTTTTTCTTGACAGGGTCTCATCGTGTAGTTCAGGCTGGCCTTGAACTCACAGTGTTCCTCCTGCCTCTGGCTTTTTTTTTTTTTTCCTTTGGTACCGGGGATCGAACTTGGGTCCTTGGGCTTGTGCAGCAGGCGGCAAAACCACTGAGCTAAATCGCTGGCCTTTTTTTTTTTTTTTTTTTTTAAGAGACTGGGTCTCATTGTTTTGCCCCACACTGGTCTCGAACTCCTGTCTCCTGAGTAGCTAAGATAATATTAAGAACGCTGGGCATGGTGGCACATGCCTGTCATTCTAGCATTTGGGAGGCTGAGACTGGAGGATCACAGCAAGTTTGAGGCCAGCCTTAGCTACATTAGTGAGTTCAAGGCCAGCCTGGACTACACAGTGAGACCCTGTCTCAAAGTGACAGTAACAAAAACAACAAAACAAAAAGATAATACTAAAGATACCTTCTTATGCTTATCAATAATCCCAGAACTCTGGGAAATTGAGGCTGGAGGATCACAAGTTTGAGCCCTGTGTGGGCAGTTTAGCAACTTAGTGAGATCCTGTCTCAAACAAAAACGGGAGTAGAGCCTGGGGATGTAGCTCATTATAAAGGTCCTGGGTTCATTCCCCAGTGCTGGGGCCGGGGGGTGGGGAAGAATACCTTCTTCATGGACTTTTGTGAGGAATAAATGAGTTAATGCACTTAAAGTGCTCAGAGCTGTAACTGTTCGTAGTGTTCATAAATATTGGTGATGTTGGTCTGTTATTCTTTTGCAGACTTTGGGCTGTTTAGTGCCATGCATTCTTTACAATGTGTCCTCCAAGCGCAGAAGTCTCTAAGGTGGGGGCCATTGGCTGCTATGTCGTGGCTGCTGCTCAGGACCTGCAGGGCACATAGCAGCCTCCCCACCTCTGCAAGTCCCAGTCCAGAGAGGCAGGAGAATGGAGTTCGAAAGGATTTCAGCTCCAGGCTGGCCACTGGACCAACTTTTCAGCATTTTTTAAGAAGTACCTCAGCTCCTCAAGAAAAGCCATCTTCTCCAGAAGCAGAGGATCCACCTCCCTATCTCACAGAGGAAGAGCTTTTAGGAAGACAGAGAAAAGGTTAGTTTTAATTCTCTTTTTCCTTTACTCTTTCTGCCTTGCTCCTCTCTAGCATCCGTGGCTTGATTGTAGTTCTCTTATTACAGATCTGGTTTTAGAAGGTCAACAGTATGGGAAAGTTTCTCAATTATGGAATCGTCAATTTCTACAACTAACATTAATGGAAAGAAACCCACAAAGCTGGGCTTAGGTATAAGCAGAATGGTAGAACTCTTGCCTAGTATGCATGACATCCTAGGTTCAATCCCCAGCACTGCAGAAAAAAAAGGAACTTCATAGTGTTGGCACACATGACTTGGGGTGGAATTCCTGGGAGCCTTCTCTTTAGTTCTTTTACTCTAGAAAACCTTGCTGGGTGTGGTAGTGCACACATGTAATCCCAGCACTAGGGAAGCTGAGGCAGGAGGATCACTGGGAGCTTGAGTCCAGCCTGGGCTACATAGTGAGTTTAAGACCAGCCTGTACTACATAGTGAGACCCTGTCTCAAAGAACCAAAAACCCTACGAAATCTTGTAAATTTTTTTTGAAGCTTTTTTGTGGGGGGGTACCGGGGATCAAACTTGGAACCTTGCACTTGCAAGGCATGTGTAGTGCCACTGAGCTAAGTCCCTGGCCCCTATTCTTTACACTTGAGAAGAGGCTTTCTTAGAAACACTATGTGATCAGTTAAAATAACTTAAATTTTGAGGAGACATTAAAGAACAACCAGACCTTTTCTTCTTTCCTGTTTCTAAAAAAATTTCCCTTCATATTTTTTTGTGTTCGGAGAGTGCTTGCCTGTGCACAAGGCCCTGGGTTCAATCAAGACTATAACCAAAAAAAAAAAAAAAAAATTTGGTTGTGATTATATGGTGCAAATTATTTGTGTATTATTTTCATTTAACATTTTTCAGACATTACAATCTTGGTAACTAAAGTTTTTTGTTGTTTTTTGAGACAGGATCTCACCATGTAGTCTAGGCTGACTTTTAACTCATTACGTAGCCTAGGCTGGCATCAAATTCTCAGCAGTACTCCTGCTTCAGCCTCTTGAGTGCTGAGATTACACTTGTGTGCCACCACACACTTGACTTAGTAAATAAATTTTAAAAAATTGGTGCAGAGTATCATACTGTACTATAATGTATACCATGTATACCATAGTGCTTTTTCAACTATTTCCCTGTGGTTGGATATTAGATTTTGTTGTCGTTGGTTTTTAAAACAGGGTCTCGCTGTGTAGTTCGGGCTGGCCTTGAACTTGTGGTGATCTTGCCTTAACTCCCTGAGTGCTGGGATTACAGGTGTGTAACACCACACCTGGCTTTACTTTTTTGTTTGTTTGTTTGTTTATTTATTTATTTATTTATTGATACTGGGGATCAACTTGGGACCTTGTGCTTGCAAGGCCGGTGGCAGAACCACTGAGCCAAATCCTGGCATGCTTTTTATTTTTGAGACAGGGTCTCACTAAGTTTCTGGGCTGAAACTTGCAGTCTTTCTGCGTCAGCCTCTCAGAATGTTGAGATTACAGGCATACACCACCTTGCCTAGCTATGATTTTTTTTTTTTAAATTTTACTTTTTATTAAATTCTTTTATTGGTACATTGTAGGTATACAACACAATTACATTTCTCATTGGGAATTGTACCTTTACATAATGCATCTTGGTTCTTATTTTTATGATGTTTTAATTTTGTTAGACGAGAAAAGTGGGCCAAAGAAGGTCATTAAAAAGAAAAGATGGGGCTGAGGATTTAGCAAGGTGGTGCCACCGCCTGCCTCGCAAGCTCAAGGTCCCAAGTTTGATCCCTGGTACGAGAAAAAAAAAAAAAGGCAAAAAAGAAAAGATATTTCCTTCCTTTTTTTCTTTCTAAAATAACTTCCCTTTTCTTTTGGTTTTCATATCATTATTTGTCATTCAGTTTTTTTCTTTTTGAAAAGGAACTTTGTTTTTATTTTTATTTTTTGGTACCAGGGATTGAACTCGGGTCCTTGTGCTTGGGAGGGAGGCGGCAAAACCAGTGAGCTAAATCCCTGGCCTGTCATTCAGTTTTGAATTCCACTTGGAATTTATGTGAGCCTGGGACTAGAGTCTGGTGGTGGAAGCAGGGATTATTAATGTAGGGAAATAGTTTGAAAGGGCTTCCCAGAGTATGAAATTCAAGTTCTTAAAATTTTATAAAAGCTGGATGTGGTGGCATTGAGCGGAAATCCCTGCACTTGGGAGGCTAAGGCAAGAGGATCTGATTTGGAGACCAGCCTGTACTACTGAGTGAGGTTCTATCTCAAAAACAGAAACACCATCAAAAAGAAAGCTGTGCAGGGACCGGGGATTTAGCTCAGTGGTTTCACTGCCTGCTGTGCAAGTGCAAGGACCTGAGTTCCATTCCCAGTACCAAAAAAAAAAAAAAAAAAGCTGTGCAGATTTATGTTTTACTTCATAAATAACCATGCTTGCATTCATTTAAGAAATTTACAGTTACTGTAGGAGGATGCCTCATTCTCATTTTGTGGCCTCATTCTCAGCTCTCCATTTTGAAGAGGATTGTGAGGTGGATTTAAACTTTTTTCCTCTTAGGTTGATAAACAGTATCCATAGTCCTTTCTTTTTTTTTTTCTTCCAGTACTGGGGATTGAACTCCAGGCCTTTGCAGTTTTATTTTTTATTTTGAGACAAGGTCTCTGAACTCAGAGTCTCTCAGTTGCCCACGCCGGGCTCAAGCTTGTGATCCTCCTCCCTTAGCCTCGAAGAGTACTGAGATTATAGATGTGCATCACTACTTGTGGCTCCTTTTTTGTTTTTTTTGTTTTTTTTGGCACTGGGGATCGAACTTGTGACCCTACGCTTGGGAGGCAGGTGGCGGCACCACTGAGCTAAATCCCCGGCCCCTTTTTTGTTTTTATAACTATATTTCTTTGATTCTCAGAGCATCTTTTCATCATATTTTAAATCACATAGCTTATAATTATTATTATTTTTTTTTTGTGATACCAGGGATCGAGCTCAGGACCTTGTGGTTGCGAGGTAGGCGTGGTGCCACTGAGCTAAATCCCTGGCCCTATAATTAGTACTTTTTTTTTTTTTTGGTACTGGGGATCGAACTCGGGATCTTGTGCTTGTGAATATAATTAGTATTTTTATATAGTGCAGTCTGTTTTTTGTTCTGAAAGACTGCCATTAATTTGGGTTACATCTGGCAATTGGTGATGTTTTAGGATTGAGGCTTAGTGCATAACCAGTTGCCACAGGTGTTTTGGGGACTTTAGAATAGGAGAACTTTTGCAACTTGTGGGCCTTGTCTGCCTACCCTGGAATCTACCTTTTGTTGTAGTCTACCTTGAGACCTATGGCTGCCAGATGAATGTGAATGACACAGAGATAGCCTGGTCCATCTTACAGAAGAGTGGCTACCTCCGGACCAGGAACCTCCAAGAGGTAAATTATATGTGTTTGCTGTTTCCCCAAACTTCCTGGGCCTGGGTGAGACTCTGCATTTGTGCCAGTTCTTAGCTGTAGTTTTGGGCACAGATACAGGCTGCCGAGAGAGTTTCCTTGAGTGCAATGTGTACCATGGGACTGGGTGTGCTTGCATCCCAGCTGCCTTTGAGACTTTTATTGTGAGACTTACCTTTGGGCAGGGACCTAAGTTAAAAATTGGTGTCAGGAGAAGAAAGGGGAGTTAGTGTGTATAATATGTACAATTATAGTTGGGGTGGATGAGAGAATTTGGAGGTAAATGGTGGAGAAAGTTCATGACAGTGTGAATGTTTTTAATGCCACAGAACTTTATACATAAAAAGAGTTAGAATGATAAATTTTATGTTATGTGTATTTTACCACAATAATTATGAAGAGTTGTTGCAGAGCAATGATTCTCTAAGTGTGATTTCGAAGATGATAATTTTTCTTTTTTCTTACTGTCTCTCCAGGCTGATGTGATTCTTCTTGTTACATGTTCTATCAGGTATGAATTTGTTCTTTCCTTAGGCTGTGAATATATCTATTTTTTTTGTACTGGGGATTGAACCCAGAGCCTTTACACTGAGCCATTTTTCACATCCCAAGTCATTTTTAATTTATTTTGAGACAGGGTATTGCTATGCGACTAAATTGCCCAGGCGTCCTCTTGCCTCAGTGTTTCAGAATGTTGGGATTATAGGTGTGTGCCACTGTGCCCAGTGTGGAGTAAACGTATCTTATATAATCATGCCAGCCGGGGATTTAGCTCAGTGGTGCTGCCACCTGCCTCACAAGCGCAAGGTCCCGAATTCGATCCCTGGTACCGAAAAAAAAGAAAAAAGAAAAAAGACCCTGTCTCAAAAAACCAAATAAATAAAAATGTAACGCTTGTTATTTAAAAAAAAAAAAAAATTATGCCAGAGCTAAAGCCCCCAGGTGGCTTGCTAATGGGGATGACCAGTGGCCCCATGGCCTCATGTCAGTAGCACTTGTAGTTTTCCCACAGTGGTGATAGTTTTGATTCATCTTGCCGACATCTGCTAAGCAGGTACTGTGTGTCAGGTTCCATGTGAGCACTGCACATGCATTAACGAGTTTAACTCTCATAGCAATCCTATGAGGTTGGTGCTCTTACCAAGCCCATTTCATAGATGAGGAAATCAAAAGTATGCTCAGTCATCCAGGTTTTCCTGAGGTTTTTCTTGCTACTGATGGCATACCTTTATAATATAGTCGTCTGGATGAGAGTGTAGTCAGTGCCTAGGGGAGAATGTTCTGAACAGAGATAGGTGGCATCCATCAGAGGGGGCCAGGAAGCACTTGGCAGCAGGAAGTCCATCGGAAGTGAATATACCCTCTCTCTTGGTTACTTTTCTTGTTGCTAACACAAAATACCTGGCACCCAAAGTTAAAGGAAAGGTTTATTTTGGCTCACAGTTTGTAGAGGTTTCATTCCATAATCAGCTGGCAAAAGAGAAACAGTTCTTGGTAAAGCAGGGCAGACAGAAAGCAACAAGCAGCAAGTGAGGAAGCAGCAGTGAAGTGACAGTTTCTTGGTGTCCCTTTATTTTGTATACAGGCTACCCGCCTTAGGGCAGGTAGCACTCACACCCAGGGTGGGACACCCTTAATCCTACCCAGAACTATGCCAATCAGCAGACTAATTGAGTAGCCACACACCCTTAATCTCAGCATCACACACTCTAGATCATGCCACCTCTGAAAAGCCCCACCTATGACCACATGAGGTTTTGGGAGGACATCTAGATACAAGTCATAACACTACCTGATTTTCTTTGTTTCTCTGTACAAGGCACATCATTGTTAGTGTTTCCATAGTTGGCTATACCATCAACTAATTAATTAATACTTTTTATTCAGAGGGCCTCTCTGCATGACTCTGAGCTTAAGCGGTTTGGAAGTGAACCCTCCCTTCATGGAGCCTGGCTTTCTGGAGCTTGGTCTGATATGGGAAATAAGATATAGAAATAGATCTGACAGAAAATACTAGGTAAAAAGAAAAACAATCAAACAATAAAAGCCAAATAGCTCAGTAAAGGGAAAAGGATAGTTAAAATGGAAGGGCACGTAAAGGGAGGAAAAACTCTTAACAAAAGACAGTTGTGGAAGGCTTTACAAAGATTTAAAAATTAAAAAAAATTTTTTGAAGCAGAGTCTCACTAAATTGCTTAAGTTCTTCAGGCTGGGCTTGAACTTTGAATCCTCTGAAGCAGATTGTTTTTTGTTTTTTTGGAACAAGATCTCGGTGTGTAGTTCAGGCTGGCCTTGAAGTCACTATGTAACTCAGGCTGGCTTCGAACTTGTGGCAATCTTCCTTCCTCAGGATTAACCTTGTTGGGATCACAGGTTTGTGCCACCACAGTTGGCTTCTGAAGCAGATTCGTTTTGAATTTGCATTACAGGCTTGTCAGAATTTGGGGATGTGTAGGAAAGGTATGTCTTTCTAGGAAAAATGAATTATAGCAAGTGGTTTTTCATTGGCCCCCACCTGTCTTCCCTAAGTCTAAAGGTAGGTGTCATTTAAAGGGTTGAAAGTGGTTTTTATTTCCTTTCCATTGTCTCACTTTCTTAAGTTGCTCTGTAGTTTATTTTTGGCTCAGTTTTGCTTCTGTTGGTCTTTGTAGGGAGAAGCCTGAGCAGACCATCTGGAACCGTTTACATCAGCTGAAAACCCTAAAGACAAAGCGGCTCCGATCTCGGGTACCTTTGAGGATTGGGATTCTAGGTATCCGGTAATTTGCAGGTTTTGTCTGTTTTGAGACTTGGGGTCCATGTGGCTTCATATGCTAGAGAATTTCCTGTAGAGGCTGAGATCCTAGGATGTGGAGAACCTTTAAACACTTCACACAGTCTTTTTGTTTTGTTTTTGAGATAGGGTCTTGCTATGTAGTATAGGGTGGCTTTGAACTCACTATGTAGCCCAGGCTGCCCTCAAACTCACAGTGATCCTCCTGCCTCAGCCTCCTGAGTGCTGGGATTACAGGCATGCTATCCCACGGAATCTTTTTTTTTTTTTGTTACTGGGAATCAAACTCAGGACCTTGGGTTTGTCAAGGAGTTACGTGCCACTGAGCTAAATTCCTGCCCCTATCCCATAGAATCTTATACTTAATGTCAGAGGCTCTGAGATTAAATGCACTAAAGGTCATAAAAGGCTTTATGTAGTTCTGGAAGTAACAGGTGCTCAGAAGTAGTATGTCCTTGCTGGAGCCTGATGCAGCTCATGGTAGCGAAGAGTGATAAATAGGGTGGAGTGTTGAAGTCCGAAGAGGCAGTGTAAGTTTATGGCAAGGTGCCCTTGGTCTGGACTCCTGAACAAGCCGAAGTGAAGCCTCAGGTCTGCTCTGACCAATAGCCGCCTTTAAAATAAAGTTAGTGGTTCACATCTCCAGTCATGTTAATCACATATCAACTCCTCAGTAGCTACACATGACTGGGAGCCTCTGTTTGCACAGCACATCCACTTATTTCCATCCAGTCCATTTCATTATCTTGGAAGGTTTTGTAGGACAATTCTGATCTGGATGCTTGGGAAGCTCATTTCAAAAAACAAATTCTCGGGCTGGGGATTTAGCTCAGTGGTTTTGCCGCCTGCTGTGCAAGCGCAAGGACCCGAGTTCAATCCCTGGTACCAAAAAAAAAACACCAAAAAACAAACCAAATTCTCCATACCCTTTCTGCCCTAGAATTTAGTTAGCATATTGAACTTTATAGATAGCAGACTGTGTCCTTTGTGGAGTAAGTTAACCACTCTTGACGATAAGCCAACACATATTTGGAGTGTTAATGTTGATTGGGGAAGTCAGAGTTGCTGTAAGGGTTTGCTGAAATATTTTGTTCCATTTCACTTCATTATAAAAGCTCCTGAGTATTTACAAGGGTTGATAAAAATACACAGTGCAGGGCTGGGGATTTAGCTTAGTGGCTCTGCCACCTGCTCCGCAAACGCAGGGACCCTAGTTCGATCCCTGGTACCAAAAAAAAAATACACTGCATTTTTAAATTAAAAAAATTTGTTATAGTAACAGTGCATTGCCATTAATGTCCCTCAAAATATTTCCCTTTGCTTTGAGCAGACTTATCCCATTGCTCTTGCCACTTTCTGAAGCAGTTCTGGAAGTTCTATTTCATGAATAAGTTGTTTTTTTTTTTTTGTTTTGTTTTTTGGTACCGGGGATCGAACTTGCGTCCTTATGGTTTTGGGGCAGGTGGTGGAATCACTGAGCTAAATCCCCGGCCCTCATGAGTAAGTTTTTAGTTGTGCTGTCATGATTGCCTCAATATCCTAATCAATTCGGAATATTTACATTTCATAGTCATTTTGTCTTTGGGGAAGAGCCAGAGGTTGCTCAGTGCCAGATTGTCAGATGCAGTGAATAAAGTGGGTTAGTACACACTGCAGTGTTGTTATGAGCCTGCTTTGATTTTGGATTGTGCTGGTCATCAACATTCACTGTATTTTTGATCACACCTGATAAAAACACACTCATGAAAGAAAACTTCCAGAACTGCTTCAGAATAAGGTAAGAATAGGTGGGGATGGTGGCACACTTGTAATCCCAGCACTTTGGAGGTTGAGGCAGGAGGATTGCCATAAGTTCAAGGCTAGCCTGGGATACATAGTGAGTTCAAGGCCATTCTGAACTACATAGTAAGACCCTGTCTCACAAAAAGGAAGTGGACGCCTGCCTCGAAAGCGCAAGGTCCGGAGTTCCATCCCTGGTACCAAAAAAAAAAAAAAAAGAAAAAGAAGTGGTAAGAATGATGAGATAAGCATGTTCAAAGATAGGAGGAATATTTTAAAGAGGATTACTAATAATGTGTCTTACTATAATAATTTTTTCAGAGGCTTTTAACCATCCACCTTTTTTTCTTTTTTTTGGTGCTGGGGATTGAACCCAGGACCTTGCGCTTGCCAGCCAGTCTCGGTGCCCCTGAGCTAAATTCCCGGCCCCATCCACTTTATTTTTTGGTCACACCTCATATACGTTAGAAATTTCAGAAATCTCAAGAATAAGCCACGAAGGTCTGGGGATGTAGCTAGTGGTGCTGCACCTGCCTGGCAAGCACAAGGTCCTGAGTTTGATTCCTGGTACGGAAAAAAAAGAATAAGCCGAGAGTTGGGCATGGTGGTACACGCTTGTAATCCCAGCACTCAGGGAGGCTGAGGCAGGAGGATTGCTGTGAATTGGAGGCCAGCCTGGATAGCATAATGACACTATGTCTCAAGTCAAAAAAAAAAAAGCCAAGTGTGGAGGTGCACATCCATCAATCCAGGAGGCAGAGGTAGGATAGAATTGAATGGAGCCCAGCCCAAGCAATGTAGAGGGACTCTGTCTCTAAAAAAAAACAAAAAAAAGCTAGGATTGTAGCTCATTGTGAAGGTCCTGGGTTCAATCCCCAGTATTGCAGGGGGAAAAAAAAAAGAAAGAAAGAAATCCCAAGAATAATGATTTTTAAACCAATATGGTAAAATATACATAAAATTCTCATTTT